AAATACCAAAAATATTATTTTTCAAATAACTTTTGATGGAATGATTTCCCAGACTAAAACGACATACCGTTGGATGCGCCTTGACGAGTACTATCTACACATATGATTTGATGATAAACGGATGAAAAAAAATAAACCGGCGGTATCCTTTGCTTTACGTGCACCTTACTCAACACGGATTTCACAGAAGTCACTTGTGGATCCAACTGGTTCAGTGCTGGTTTAAATTTTGATAATAATGCCACGAGGTCCTAGGCACAGAAATGATCTACTGTTTTGCCTAGTTCAGATTCGCATTTTTCTACTACTTGATTGAAAGACATAGCTGATAATTACGAACGCTATTTATGATGGTAGTTATACGTGTAGTGTATAGAATGATGGAGGAAGAATACGTGTGTTCTTGATGAAAATATAAGCCGAATGAAAATATACGCAGCATCGAAATACACTAGGTTATTTATAAATTTCACAATTTCATTTATTCCTCGCTACATCAAAAACGCAAAATGTTTTTAAATCAGACTTTCTCTCAGCTTTCTTCCCCTTTTCCCTCCTTATCTCTTTCTTGTTCTTTTTCATCATTATTATAGATAATAATTCACCTCCCAGAAAAATTTGTATGGTAGTTTTGCATTTTTTGCACGCTATTTTTGAAAACAGATCAATCCAAGCAAAAAGACTGTGATGGGAAATTATTTTTAAAAGCTCAAAAAGTATTTGTTTAATCGACGTCAGGGAAATTATAGACTTCAGACACCGGTTCCTCACAAATTGAAAAAATATTTTTTGGATACACATTCGATCAATTCTTCTAGAGCTTCTGTTGAGAACAAAACGTCTAAACCAGCAACAATGCCACTACTAACTGCAGCACAAGTTAATTCATCAGCATTGTGTAGTGAATTTGATATGGCATGCCATGCAAATAAAGTTGATGCGGTTCAAAAAATGCTTGAAACAATGACGGTTGATGATATAGATAAAATGGAGCCGAATGGTAGTACTGCTCTACATGTCGCATGCTATAATGGATATATCGAAATCGTTAAACTGTTGTTGGTTGCTAATGCAGATCTATCAATAATGAACAGATATAAATGTTTACCGTTTGATGAGGCCTCTACAGAAGAAATCAAAGAACTATTTCTTCGTACACCAACCAGTAATCGTTTAGTGTCGAATACAGGTGCTATTGAATAGGACCTTGTCGACGACGAAGTTGCAGAGAAAGCGGCTGAAGATAAAAAATTTATTAAGTCTCTATTTTCAAGCGCATCAGATATTGATAAAATGTTCAACACAATTGAAAAAAATTATATTGGCAGAGGACTGCATAACGTTCAAGTAGTCAAAAACATAGAACGTTATTTTCGAAAAGCAAGAAAAGAACAAACTCCGTAACATATTATACGGGCATATACAGCCGAAGCTGATTTCTATCAAGTTCTAAATATTGAGTTAGCTAGTGGCTCAATGCTATATAGTCATGAACGGCGATATATAATAGCTTTATTACGCCACCATCCTTTATTGGATAAATATTCGTACACCGGCCTGTCGTTTAGAGGAATGAGAATCACTGATGATCTCAAAAAATATAAAGTTGGCTGTTGTTTAATGACAAAATCTTTCCTGTCATCATCAGTAGATCGAACAGTTGCTGAAACTTTTGCATATCAACAGAACTATGTACATTCATCAGCCAGTCCGCATTCACGTGTACAAGCTGATGAAAATTTGGTAAAATTTCCAGCTATTTGTACGTACAGTATACGACACAAACGTACTGGTCTCCATATTGAGGATATTTTGCAATATCCAGTCGAAGGCGAAGTGTTAATTATGCCACATTGTGTCTTCAAGGTTCAGCAGATTACGAAAACCGTCACAACAGTTTTACCAGATAACCAATCAGTGGATGAAATTGTGTTGATAGAATGTGATCATGCAAATCATGCGAGAATTATGCTCTTTTGTGTGAGAATTATGAGTGAACACAAAACATGTTATGCTTCGTTCACGAGAATTTTGTGTGTCTTCACAGAAACGTTTTCTTGCCCAGTCTACGAGAATAATGATTTTACACGGGAGTTATGCTGTTTTGCGTGAGAATTATGAGTGAACACAAAACATGTTATGCTTCGTTCGCGAGAAATTTGTATCTCTTCATACAAATGTTTTCTTGCCTAGTCTACGAGAATAATGATTTTACAGGAGAATTATGCCGTTTTGCGTGAGAATTATGAGTGAATACAAAACATATTCTGCTTCGCTCACGAGAATTTTCTGTGTCCTCATAGAAACTTTTTCTTGCCTAGTGCACGAGAATAGTAGTTTTACACGAGAATTATGCCGTTATGCGTGGGAATTATGAATGAATACAAAACATATTATGCTTCGTTCACGAGAATTTTGTTTGTCTTCATAGAAACGTTTTCTTGCCTAGTCCACAAGAATAGTAGTTTTACACGACAATTATGCTGTTTTGTGTGAGAATTATGAGTGAATACAAAACATATTATGCTTCGTTCACGAGAATTTTGTATCTCTTGATAGAAACGTGTTCTCGCCTAGTGGACGAGAATTATGGTTTTACACGAGAATTATGCTGTTTTGTGTGAAGATTATGAGTGAATAGAAAACATATTATGCTTCGTAAACTCACAGACACAAGAAACGTCTCACGCTGTCTGCACGAGAATTCGAACAACTGACTGCATATATACTCCTCACGCTGTACTACATAAAGTTTTTTCATGATAACGCACTTTCTGTAAAGTACACCCCATACATTCAGACACGCAGAAAACGTACACGTTTTCAGTCTACAGCAAAACGTTCACTAAATACTACCATACATCGAGAAACACCATCTTTCCCAAACCGATAACCACATAAATCCTCCAGCAACACAATCAGCGTTAACCCATAGCCCAACTATCGATCCAAAACACAAATAAAGTTTCTATGAAGAGATACAAAATTCTCGTGAACGAAGAATAATATGTTCTGTATTCACTCATAATTCTCACACGAAACAGCATAATTCTCCTGTAAAACCATTATTCTCGTGGACTGCTCAAGAAAAAGCTTCTATGAAGAGATAAAAAATTCTCGTGAACGAAGCATAATATGCTCTGTATTCACTCATAATTCTCGCGTAAAACCATTCTTCTCGTGGACCAGGCAAGAAAACGTTTCTATGAAGAGACACAAAATTCTCGTGAACGAAGCATAATATGTTTTGTATTCACTCATAATTCTCACACAAAACAGCGTAATTCTCGTGTAAAACCATTCTCTCGTGGACTGGGCAAGAAAAAGTTTCTATGAAGAGACACAAAATTCTCGTGAACGAAGCATAATATGTTTTGCATTCACTCATAATTCTCACACGAAACAGCATAATTCTCCTGTAAAACCATTATTCTCGTGGACTGCTCAAGAAAAAGCTTCTATGAAGAGACAAAAAATTCTCGTGAACGAAGCATAATATGCTCTGTATTCACTCATAATTCTCGCGTAAAACCATTCTCTCGTGGACTGGGCAAGAAAAAGTTTCTATGAAGAGACACAAAATTCTCGTGAACGAAGCATAATATGTTTTTCATTCACTCATAATTCTCACACGAAACAGCATAATTCTCGTGTACAGACCATAATTCCTTCTAGACTAGATGCGTAATTCTCGTGTAAAACCAGTTTTCTCGAGGACTGCTCAAGAAAAAGTTTCTACGAAGAGATACAAAATTCTGGTGAACGAAGCATAATATGTTTTGTATTCACTCATAATTCTCACAGAAAACAGCAGAATTCTCGTGTACAGACCATAGTTCCTTCTAGACTAGTTGCATCATTCTCGTGTAAAACCATTATTCTGGTGGACTTGGCAAGAAAAAGTTTGCACGAAGAGATGCAAAATTCTCGTGAACGAAGCATAATAAGTTTTGTATTCACTCATAATTCTCACACAAAACAGCATAATTCTCATGTAGAGACCATAATTCCTTCTAGACTATATGCATAATTCTCGTCTAAAACCACTATTGTCGTGGACTGCTCAAGAAAAAGTTTCTATGAAGAGATACTAAATTCTCGTGAATGAAGCATAATGTGTTTTGTATTCACTCATAATTCTCACACAGAACAGCATAATTCTCATGTGAGACCATTATTCTCGTGGGCTAGGCAAGAAAAACTTTCTATGAAGAGATACAAAATTCTCGTGAACGAAGCATAATATGTTTTGTATTCACTCATAATTCTCACACAAAACAGCACAATGCTGGTGTAAAACCATTATTCTGGTGGCCTGCACAAGGAAAAATTTCTATGATTAGATACTAAATTCTCGTGAATGATGCATAATATGTTTGGATTCACTCATAATTCTCACACAAAACAGCATAATTCTCGTGTACAGACCACAATTCCTTGTAGACTAGATGCATAATTCTCGTGTAAAACCATTATTCTCACAGAAAAAGNAAATTCTCGTGGGTGAAGCATAATTTGTTTTGTATTCACTCATAATTCTCACACAAAACAGCACAATTCTCGTGCAAAACCATTATTCTCGTGGACTAGGCAAGAAAAAATTTCTATGAAGAGATACAAAATTCTCGTGAACGAAACATAATATGTTTTGTATTCACTCGTAATTCTCACACAAAACAGCATAATGCTCGTGCAGTATAAGAGTTTTGAAATATGTCGAGAATTGTCATCAATTACTCGCAGATCACTATTTCATCATATACGGTGCCAGTGTATATGATGATTCCTATCGGGAGTTTTCAACTTTGTGACACAATCGTTCGCGGGATAGTTCTGTCACGTTAATTGATAAACTTCGAACATAGTATTATGCGTGGACGTGGCAATAGCTTTAGTTGGCACCCTTAAAAGTTGGCAATAGCAGTTACTGACACCTTCGGAAGGTGGCAATAGCACTTTGATGAAACTTCAGGTGGTTGAATTCAAAAATTCAACAAAAAAAAATTCAAACAAAAAATTCATTCAGGAAAAGTTAAGCTGTCCATGTAAAAGGACAGCGGCTTATAAAGGTCAAAATTTTCTCTTGATAGTTCTGAACGAGAGTTACATATTCAGTATCAGCGTGAAATTCTGCGCCGAATGAGGTATATGGCACCTCAGAAAAACCAGTTTCAGTTTTTCGGAAAATTTTTAGCCCCTATACCATCTTTGGAACATCGAATTATTTTTTACTCTGACTTTTTCTAAAGATACTTCATTCGATGCAGAATTTGATGCTGATCGTAAATATCCGGTCAAAACTGGAAGATAGTTAAGTTTTGGTCGAAAAAAAACCGATTTTATTGACAGCTGACGTAAGCGACCTGGTTCATTAAAAACAGGTTTTTTTCCCTTGGATTTGGTATGCCAACCTCCAAAACCACCTAGATAGACCACCTAGACTCAAAAAAATGTGACAGCTTTCCGATACGGAACAAAAATCCGCTTCAAACTAGTGTTTTCAGGTCAAAAAAGCCACTTGAGTTCGAAAATTCGTCAAAAACCTGTTATTCGGCCTCGTCATTTGACTTTTCCGCCAATAGGATATGGGATAACATTACCAGAATAACATAGATGTATGCAGTTTTCAATGCTCTATCAAACGATGGTAAAATGTGTTTTCCAAAGTTTAGCTATTTTGGAAAAATCCGGTTTTTCCAACTAAGGTTTTCCAGAAAACCTTACAAATTCCGTTTTTGGCAGGATTCGACCACAAAACTCGATGAATCTAAGACTAGACTGTGTTTTGTACATATTGTTCACGTAATGGTGTAATGCTAGCTCAAGTGGGCAGCGTAGCATAATGTACAAAGAACAAGATGTCAGCGCATCCCAACGATATATTTTGACGATCGCCTACTTTATTTCGTCGAGGCACAGTCCTGGAGACTTCATAGGAAGGAACTTTTGAGTAGGTTTTCTTTCTATGGTAATCTTATCTAGAGTTCTCTAGCCAAGACACTCCGCTGTGACCACGAGAAATTTTCAGATATAGATTCGGAAGACAAAAAGGTATATATAAAGCAGCGCTTAGATGATATTCTGAAGTAAAAAGAAGAGAAGAATCATAAACTGTCCGCAATTATGTTAAAAATAGCTAAACTTTTGAACGATATAAATCCCGACGACCAAGAAAAGTATGCCGTCGAGGAAAGGAGATTACATAATGTTCTAACTCGTGAATTATATGAATACTGTAAAGAAGGAATAGAAACCGTCGGGCAAGCAGTAGACAGAAAGGTAGAACAACTGAAAGCCGACGACAAGAATAGATTAAGGTACAGAAAAATAATGACGGAAGACGGACAAGATGATTTCGTAAAGAAACATATCACAGAAATAAAAAACCTCAAAAAGAAAGAACTTGGTTTACAAGAACAAATCCACAAGATACAAACAAAAAGTGGTTTAAAGATGCCGCCGGCATCTCTGAACGTAATGGACATCCCGATAATCGCGTCTAGTACACTACCATCCTATGATGAGTACGTTACAAGATGGGATAGTATCATAGCTAAAACCAAATTGGAATTGACAGAGGTAATACTAAGAGTTAGAGAAGAAGAACTACAACAGATTCAGAATGACATACAGGAAAAGGTAACCATTTTCCTAGAGAAGCATCAAAACAACAAGGAATTAATAGGAGAAATATTTGTAAAAATGGAAAATGAAACAAAAGAAAGAATGACAAAACGGCAACGTTTTTTACAAAAAAAGCCGGAGAAATAAAAAAACGTTAAAAAAAGAAGAGCCCACCGATTCCCACTATCGCTCCATACGGTATATTTTTTTGATGTGTTTTGGATGCTTACTGTCGTATGGAAGATGGTACGGTTGCGCTGCTGGCTTCTGATATACTTTTGTTTTTAGCACTTCTCCTTCAATGTTCAGTTTTTTATGCTTCTTGCTGCTCGTATATTGATTTTTTCTGTTTTAATTCCTTCTCCTAATTCATGATTGGTTGTTTTAGTAAATTTATCTACTATCCATCTTCTTTTCGTTTCTGGTTGTCCTGTTATTCTGTTGAATTTTTTAGTCAAGGTATCATTCATTACGCTGCATTCTTTTTCAAGTCGTTGTAATGCTGCATGTGACGCTGACAAAACAAATTTAGGCCCACTGTCTAACATGTGTTTTTCTTCATTTTTCATGTCTAGAAATTTATTATTGGCTTGCGGTGGAAAGGG